CAAGAGAGAGAGTACAGGCGGACCTTTGAGCTTCTTTTTCATAGCTTGGCATTGTTTCGTTAAGATCAGCGAGTCGTAGTTGCCGTGACGTGCACAGCACGCACGTGTACGTGGCGCACGCACGTGTAGGTGCAGTACGCAACGCTACGCCGTTACGTACAACGCACGGTGTACGTGCACAGCACGACGTGTACGTGGACGCGCCCGCCGCACGTGTAAGTACACACGCACTGCAGACAGGTGTACGTAGCACTACGTCACGCACGCACAACGCACGCACGTGTACGTGCACGCAAGACACACCACGCATGCACGTGTAGTAAAATTTGCACGACGTGTGTGCAAACCGCGAGGCACGTGTACGACCACGCACGCAAACGTGCCGGCAATCACGCACGCACGTGTAGTGCAGCCGCACGCACGCCCGTGTAGTAAGACGCACGCACGGCACTGTAAGCGTGCACACGCACGGCACGTGTACGTGCACACGACGCACGTGTACGTGCACAACACGCAGCACACTTGACATGCACGTCTACGCACGCATGTGTACGTGCACACGCGACGCACGCAGCTGCACTGCGTACGTACACATGCAGCACGCGACGTGTACGCTGTCCGCTGCTTCATTGAGGTGTTGAAGCGGCAATTATTACAAGAAAAATGTGGAACATATCACTCCCAGGATATGTAGACAGAGCTAAAGACGAGCCATATGGTTTAATATCAAGAGAGACGTCAGTTTGGTTCTATGCGTATGTGTGCACAGTGTGATTGGTTATGCTAGGCACGCTCTCACAGCAACGCCAGATGGCGTAGTGGAATTTACACTGGAAATTCATGAACATTTGCAGTCGCAGGTGCTCGCTGCGTTGATGATCGCACCTGACGAGCTTTTGCGTACGTACTTCGTAGAAACTGCGGATGTACGGCATACAACTTTTACGCACGTTGATGAATCCGGCCCTGGCAGGACGTATGCTCTTAGTAGTAGTACTTACTACTATAGCTTCTAGTAGCTATACGCCGCGACCTTGATTGCCGCAGGGCTAATAGCACATTGTGGCTGGAAATACCGAACTGCACCTGTCACCAGCACCTGTCCCGCCACGAAATGGATCGCAAACCATAAATTATGGGCTTTATTTAAGCATTATCTACTCTACGTGGCAGCATCTCACTATCTTTTTGAACACTATACTGTTTACACAACTTTAGCACGCACCATGTATTTTTATCCTTTTATTGCACAAAGTAAGCACTATACTGGAATTTCCGATTTTGATATTCTGGCGTGCGTACGCGTGACGTCCCGGTATTTAGTATAATAATCATGCATCCGGATCTGTAGGCAAAACATCAATGATGTATATACAATACGTGACGCCCGCGCGTACGCACGCCAGAATTCAAGGATATTTCCAGTAGTGCTTAATTTGATGGAATAACAAGGATAAATACAGTGGTGTAAAGTTGTTGTAATGTTCAAGGAAAGATTAGGTTGAGATGTCCATAATAGATCAGTGTTAAAAAGCCGATAGATTTTGGCGTTTTGCGATCCATTTTCCGTGCGGGACAGTGGTGACATAGTTGGCAGTTGGTATTTCCAGGCCGACAAGTCATAGGCCTCGCGGCAGTCAGATGTACGGGACCTATAGTACTAGACCTATACTCACTACTTAGTACTAGTAGTGGTATGGATGGATATCGTTCGAGCTCAGGGTCACGCTGTTTGATGCGCTATCGTCTGAGGCAGTTGTTGCGCATGCGTGTACATGTTGTATGCGCGCAGCGCACTGGCACGTAGTGCGCATAGGTAGGAATTAGTGTGAAGGGGGAGGTCTTCCGCCCAAAAAATGTTGAAATCTAGATGTATAAAATGCTATTGTCCAGATTACTGAGGCTATTTTGAAGAGTCTGGGGGCCCCTTTAGGTGTGACGGCCTGCACACATGCATATGTGTTGATTACACCATAGATGGTGTTTGGTACTATGACTCCGCGTATATAAGGAGCAAGTTGGTTTATAGTTTGTCTTAGGGTGGGGGTTGTGGTTAGAGAGTAGCGTGACGTCCTAAGGCTAGCAATTATATTACATTTATGTTAATGCAACATGAAAGCCGCCATGCGCAACAACTGCTCGGACGAATAGCGCATAAAGGCTGTCGCGATTGCTCGACGAATTCCACGGTCTTGTAGTCAACTATAGCTCTAGTACTGATAGCCGCGGCGTACCGTAACTGCGGCATGTCTTATAGTGGTAGTCGTGGTTATATTCTGTTGCAGACAAACTTGGCGCGGTAGACTTGCGTGGCTGCGCGCCGTGTAATTGCCGTTGACTAATTACGAATAAATAATAAAATAAGAGTAGAAAGGATGTGGATTTCAAACTGCGCGTTTCACTATTGAATATTACAAGAAATTCAGCACAGTACTACAGGGTAGAAATACGGGTTCTTCACAATACACACCATATATACTTTACCAAGAAGAGGGTGAGTGCAAGAGAGCTCGTTTCTTCCGTGCGCGCTCTCTTATACTGCCTTCAGTAAACTCAGCCGTGAAACTCTACACATATTTTCGCCACTATACTGCTGACTACAGGATAGTAGAGGGTGGAATTATTGTCTTTGTGGTCAGTTTGTGGAGTTGGATAGAGTAAGATGGCATGGGAGTATTGGAGTGGAGATGGTTTTAACGCGTCATTCCCCCTCAGGCCGTGGGTGCTTCTAGGTGGCATGACGTTGAGTATGACGTATAGCTGGTGATTGCGTTTACGTAATTAAATATTAACAGCTGTGTATGAAATAACTTAGGCTAATGTGTGTTATTTTACTGGCCGCATACTGACCGCACTTCCGGGCAGTGTCGGGCCTTATGTGATGTATACTAAGATATTATGATGTTGCGCAGGCTAACCGCACTATAGACAGTGATGACGCTAGTTTTTTTTTTTATTTTTAATGTGTGTGTGGTCAGGTAGAAACGCGTGTTAGTAGCTGTTTAAAACAACGTTGTGCCTAATGTGTATGTGTGTTTCTTCCGCCGACAGCTAACACCAACTAATGTTGTGATGCGGCTAAGGTGTTTGTCTAACTGTTATTCGTATGAAAGTTGATCGTACGAGGCCCGTAGCCAGGGGGGTTCGGGGGTTCGAAACGAACGCCCGAGCCCCTCTCCCCCAAGGCAAAAAAAAATTTTTGTTGAAAATTTGCAAGAATTTCACTCAGTGGCTCCATTTTAGTGTAATCAATTGCAAAATTCCATCGTGCGGGAGGGTGAACAGTGAACCCCGCTCGCCACCACCTCCCCGCTCGTCGCTTGGCTCCGTCGGCCTGGTCGTTCGCGCCCGAGCAGGGGCGTGTACGGGGGGGTCGCAGGGAGTCGACCCCCTTGCTCGCGCAGTAAAACAGATCTGAGGGGGTGGAATTTTAAAAAATTTTCTGGGGGAGGGCCCGCAGCCCCCCCTTCGGCGTGCTCGCAACTATGGGTGTACGGTTAGACGCCCGCTAGTACAAATCCTGTAACCCGCCTGCGCGAGCAAGATTTGCACATTGAAGAACGAACCCCCCATAGAAAGCTGGCTACCGGGCCTGGCGTACTATAGGCAGTGATGGGGCCAACATGTGTAGGTTGTAACAGAGCTGCGCCTATGCAACCGTGTGTATCGTATTGCGTGTTGGAATCAAAATTTTTACCAGTTGTTTGTGTGTCCGGATGGTTAAATCCGTCTCTGCTCAGCTGGTGTGGTGTAAGATTATTGTTTTGATGCTGTAGGTTTCCTGCTGCTGGTTACATCGTAACACTCTAGCCTATGTGTGAGCTGCCGTAATATGCGCTTCGCAGATGAATTAGCGTGCTACAATAGAACATTTTATGCTATATTGTCGCAACCACTGCAACTGTTGTACCAATAAGGTCCACAGAAAAATGGATCGAAATTGGCAAAATGATCAGGCTTTTTACACTTATTCTATCTCATGGACATCTCACCTAATCTTTTTGGAACTATTTCCACAACTTTACTACATGCATGTTTATCCATTATCCTAAGAGTAAGCTATACTGGCAATTCATTTTGAAAATGATGTGTCGTGCACACGCGTCGAGTACGCCGAAAATTTTTATGGGGTTTTTTTACGGAAAACACACATGGCAGCTATGTGCATTATCTACAATACCGGTGACTCACGCGTCGCGCATGCACACACTTTCAAACAGATTTGACAGTAGTGCTTATTGAGGATAATGGATAAAATACATGGTGTAAAGTTGTGGAAAGTGGTTCAAAAAGATTGGTGAGATGTCCAATTGTAGATAATAAGTGTTAAATAAGCCCGATCATTTTGCGTTTTGCGATCCATTTTTCGTAGGAGGCTACGTGTAGGCAATTATGCCTTTATCCGAAGTAAATATGTCTTAAGTTATGATCAGCTACTAAAATTTTAAACGCTCTAACTATCGTTGCAATGCAATGGTCTACTTGGTCTAATGCTGCCTATAGCCCAGCGGCAACTGTACCGCGGGCTATA